GGAATTTTTTTCATTGTCGACAATTTATGATCCCGGGAAAACCCCAGGAACGGTTAGGGCCGGAGCCGGAAAAGCCGGGAATGTTTTCCCTCATTTCGTTTTCCTGGGAAGAGCGGCTTTGAACAACTCATAGAGAGAGAGGCAAGTGCCTGGAAAAGGGAGAGAGAGAAGGTGTCAGCGGAGAGTCAGAAAGAAAGAGACAAAGAGAGACAGAGAACGTCAGTGAATGTTTGTATATGCGTGTGGGTGGGTGTGGGTGGGTGGGTGTGGGTGGGTGCGTGTGGGTGGGTGCATGTGTGTGGATAGGTGAGTGCGTGTGGGTGGGTGCGTGTGGGTGTGTGTGGGTGTGTGTGTGGGTGTTCTGTGACGACTCTTCGAATAGAGCAATTAATGTCAGTCCCACTCCCCGGCCCTTTCCCCATAACCCTACAAACCCGTCCTCCTCAAATACCTGACATTACTTTGCTCTTTTCAAAGAGCCGCACAGACTCCATGGGCCGAATGGCCTCTTTTTGTGCTGTACGATTCTATGATTCTGTGATTCTATGATTATTATTATAGGGGCCCATGGAATTGGGGGGAGCATATTAACGTGGATTGGGGAATGGTTAACGGGAAGGAAACAAAGAGTAGGAATAAACGGGTCCTTTTCATATTGGAGGGATGTGACTAGTGGAGTGCCACAAGGATCAGTCCTCGGGCCTCAGCTATTTACCATCTACATCAACGATAGAGATGAGGACATCAAAGTTAATATATCTGAATTCACGGATGACACAAAACTAGGAGTAAGTGTCAACAATGTCAACACAGAGGATGACATTAAAAAAATGCAGCGCAACATAGATAGGTGAGGTGATTGGGCCGGTGGGTGGGACATGAACTATAATGTAGGGAAGTGCGAAGTCATCCGCCTCGGGAGCAAAAGCAGTAGAGCGGGTTATTTTTTAGAAGGGGAGAGATTTGAATGTGTTGGCGTCCAGAGCGATGTCCTTGTACACCAGTTACAGGAAGTTATTCTGCAGGTGCAGCAGCGATTAGGAAGGGGAACGGTATGTTAGAGTTCATTATGAAAGGATTAGAGAATAAGAGTAGGGAAGTCTCACTGCAACTGTATAGGGCCCTGTGAGACCACACCTGGAATACTGTGGGCAGTTTTGGTTCCTTATTTAAGGAAGGATGAACTTCCCTTGGAGGGGGCGCAGCGTAGATTTACTGGGTTAGTGCCAGGGATGGAGGGGATGAGTTACGAGGATAGGCTGACCAATTTGGGCCTATATTCTCTAGAATATAGAAGAATTAGAGGGGATCTTATAGAAACCTATAGGATCATCAAAGGGCATAGAGTAGATAGTGGGAGATTGTTTCCCCGTTTGGAGAAACTAAAACCAGAGGTCACAACCTTAAAATCAGAGGCAGCCCTTTCGCACTGAGTTGAGGAAGAACTTCTTCACTCAAAGGGCAGTGAATGTATGGAACTCACTACCTCAAAGGGCTGTTGACGCTCAGACCTTGAACATATTCAAGACTGAGATAGATTTCTTATTGCAAAAGGTATTAAGGGATATGGGGATAAGGCAGCGTCAGGTTATTAGCTGGAGTTAGATTAGAAGATCAGCCATGATTGAATAGGGCGGGGCAGAGGTTCGAAGGGCCGAATGGCCTCCTCCTGCTCCTACATGTTATGTTATGTTATGTTAAGACCTCTATCAGTTCTCCTCTTAACCTTCTCTGCTCCAATGAGAATAATCCCGGCCTCTCCAGCCTTTCCTCATCATCAAAGTCCCTCATTCCTGGTACCATCCTCATAAATCTCCTCTGTACCCTTTCCAATGCCTTAACATCCTCCCTATAGTGCAGTGCCCAGAACTGGGGCAGTATTCTAACTGAGGCCTAACCAGTGTTTATATGGGTTAATCATCACCTCCTGACTCTTGTAGATTGTATTACCGCCTATATTGCCCCTCATTCTTTCTACCAAAATGTATTACCTGCATTTCTCCACATTGAAACTCCTCTGCCATGTGTCGCCCATTTTACCATCTGTCTATGTCTTCCTGCAGTCGACTCCTATCCTTCTCACTGTTTACCGCCCTACCCAACCTTGTGTCGTCCGCAAACTTGGAGATGGTACTGGCTATACCCAAGTCCAGATCATTTATGTATATTAAGAAGAGCAGTGGTCCTAATACCAATCCCTGGGGGACACCACTGTACACTTCCCTCCAGTCAGAAAAGCAGCCGTTCACCACAACTCTCTGCTCTCTGTCTCCCAGTGAGTTCTGGATCCGCTGCCACTGTCCCTTTTATACCAACGGCTTCTATCTTTCTTACAAGTCTTTCATGTGACACTTTGTCAAATGCCTTTTGAAACGACATCAACTTCACTGCCTTTATCCCCTCTCCGTTACCTCATCGAACAATTCTATTAGATTTGTCGGACAAGATTTGCCTTTAACAAATCCGTGTTGGCTGTCCCTAATTAACCCATATTCTTCTAAGTGAAGATTTATTCTGTCCCGGAGTATAGTCTCCAGGAGTTTCCCCACTACTGATGTCAGGGACTGGCCTGGAGGTCCCAGGTTTGTCCTTCTGCCCCTTTTTGTACAGAGGAGTCACATTGGCCACTCTCCAGTCCTCGGGCACCACTCCTGTGTCCAACGAAGATTGAAAAATTGTAGCCAAAGCCTCCGCTATTTGTACCCGTACCTCCCATAGTAACCTCGACTGCGTCCCGTCCGGACCGGGCAACTTATCACCTTCAGCCCAGATAACCTTTCCAGTACTTCCTCTCTGTTTATACTTATCCTCTCCGTTTCCTCTGCCCTCTCCTCCGATACTGCGGCATTTGGTGCATCCACTTCTTTTGTGAAGACAGATGCAAAGCACTCATTCAGCACATCAGCCGTGGCCTCCGCCTCCACAGGAAGATTTCCCCCTCGGTCCTTACTTGGCCCCACCCTACCTTTGATGAGCCTTTTTTTTTCTTGATACGTTTGTGAAATATTTTAGGGTTCCCTTTAATGTCAGTCGCTAACCTTTTCTCGTATAATCTTTTTTCCGCTCTCATTTCCTTTTTCAAAGCCTGGCATCCGACCCCAGTTCCTCATCACGTCGCCGTGACTTCTCAAAGCGCTTCACAGGACATGCTGTAAAAGTGTAGTGACTGTGTGTGTTTTGTGGGCGAAACGCGGCAGCCAAATACGCCCACCGACGACCCCGCAAACAGTCGTCAAGTGACCGAGCGATTTTATTTGTGGGGTTTGTCGACCAGGACACAGGGAGAGAGAAACTCTCCCCCACCCCCCTCACCACCACCCACCCCCCACCACCTCACCTGACAGCGCTGTGGGGGGAGATCTTCAACGTCCGCCTGAACAGGGCTCAGACGGGGAGTGAGTGAGGTTTAACGTCTCATCCGAAGGCGGCGTCTCTGACAATGTGTCGCTCGCTCTCTCTCTCTCTCTCTCTCTCTCGATGGCTGAGCTGTGTGTGGGTTTAGTTGGTTAGACTCCAGCAGTTACCCCAACGCACACTCTGGGCTCCCCCCCCCACCCCCCCGTCTGTCGGGGTCAGACGCACAGGGAAACCCATGCATGCGCTCTCTCGCTCTCTCTCCCTTGAGGGACGCCCCTGGCTTACTTAATTCCAGAGAGTATTAGGCGCAGGTTGGGCGAGAGCCAAGGCTTGTGGGGGGTGGGGGGGGGGGGAGCCCAGAGTGTGCGTTGGGGTAATTGTTGGGGTCTAACCAACTCAACCCACACAGAGCTCGGCCATCGAGAGAGAGAGAGAGAGCGCTGTCCGGCCGAGCTTTCCCGCTGCGTGTCCCGCTCGGAACCCCCTCCCCGTTAGTTAGTTGGGGCTTTGGCTGTGGGGGTAACAGGAGCTGAGGGGGAGGATTCCCGGCCCCCAGGGACTGGTCGGCCCTTCCAGGTGCTGCCGATGAGCCGGGCCGGGCTGGGCTGCCATCAGCAGTGAGTGCCCCGGGACCCCGCGGCCCCTCCCGGCTCAGGAACCGGGACGAGAGACCGGCACAGAGGGGGTGGGGGGTGCGGTTGGGGGATGATCGGAGGGTTAGGGGGTTAATGGGGTGGTTGGGGGTAATGGGGGGGAATCGTCAGTGATTTCCTCAGATTATTTTCTTGTTGGAAAGAAACACAAAGACTTTGTTGTAGTTTTTTTCAAGACATTTTACTGGGGTCAGTTTTGAAAATCAAACACATATCTCTCTCTCTGTTTTTTTCTCTCTCTTTCTCTCAGATTTTTTTCCTCTTTTCTCCTCTTTCTCTCTCTTTCTTCCGTTCTTTAGTTCTCTCTCTCTCTCTCTCTCTTCCTCTCTTTTTCTCTCTCTGCCTCTTTCTCTGTGTTTTTTTTCTTTCTTTCTCTCTTTCTCTGTTAGTTTGTTCTTTATTTTTCTCTCTCTCTCTCTCTCTCTCTTTCCATTTAATCGTCCAGACATCTCGAAATGCTTCCCAGACGTGAGGTGTAGTGACTGTGTGTGTGTGTGCGCGCGCGCGCGTTTGCGATTCCGAGATGCAACGTAGGGGGTGGGGTGGGGGGTAACTGGGGAGGGGGGTGCGGGGACGGGGGAGAGTGCGGGGGTGTGGGTTGAGGGTGGGGTGAGCCGAGCAGAACGAACAACAACAACCACTTAACATTTACACAGCACTTTTTTTGGTCGTCTCGAGATGTCTCCCACTGAGGGAGGAGGAGGGGGTGGGGGGGGAATGTGTGTGTGGGGGGGTGGGGGGTTTTGGGGGAAATGGGGTTACATGCAACAAGCCCGAGTTAAAGGTGCGGGGACGGGTTGGGGTCAACGAGGAGCTTGAAATCGATGCGCTTTGCGAAGGGCGTGACTTTGCCTTTAACTCGTCTCTCGGTCACGGCCCAAAAATAATAATCGATAAATCTTATCAAAAATAAATAAGCTTCGAATATATCGACTGTTCACAAGCGGAGGGCGGGGGCCGGGGGCCAGGTGGGCGGAGTGGGGGGGAGGGGGGGGGGGCCGTGGTTCGTGATCGTAGCGAGCGGGAGAGCGAGATCTCCGGGCGGAGGGCAGGGCAGGGGCGGCGGTGAGAGGGGGTGTCAGGGTTGAGCGAGGGGTGTGTGAGGGTCTCACAGCATTTTGGTGGCGTGCTTGTTAGCTTCATCGATGCGGACTTTGTTCATGTCGCCCTGGAACAGATGAGAGAGAGAGAGAGAGAGAGTCAGCGAGCGAGCGAGTTTGTGTGAGGGTGTGTGTGAGGGTGTGTGTGTGAGGGTGTATGGGGTGAGGGTGTGTGAGTGTGTTATGTGTGTGTGTGTGTGAGTGTGTGTTCTGTGTGTCAGTGTCCTTGCATTTGATACAGCGCCTTATCACGTCTCAAAGCGCTTCACAAAATACACTGTTAAGTGTAGTGACTGTCTATTTTGTGGACGAAACGGCTGCAGCCGATCGCACCCGGCGACGTCCCCACAAACAGCCGTGGATTGAGTGACCGAATTATTATCGTTTCGAAGGGATTATTCCCCCCGGAAAGTGATCCCCAATTGACTAACAAGTGGATTCCCACTGACTGCCGGGAAAGACAGGGTGTGTCTGTCTGTCTGTGTGTGTGTGTGTGTGTCTGTGGGGGGAGTAAGGAAACTTGCCTAACGTTTCACCCTGACCTGACCCGCCCAGGAATCGAACCTGTGTCCTCTCTCTGGCTGGCGAGGCGAGGGGTCTAACCCCTGAGCTACAGGGGCTGTGGGGTGCGAGGCGAGGGGTCTAACCCCTGAGCTACAGGGGCTGTTGGGGTGCGAGGCGAGGGGTCTAACCCCTGAGCTACAGGGGCTGTGGGGTGCGAGGCGAGGGGTCTAACCCCTGAGCTACAGGGGCTGTGGGGTGCGAGGCGAGGGGTCTAACCCCTGAGCTACAGGGGCTGTGGGGTGCGAGGGAGGGGTCTAACCCCTGAGCTACAGGGACTGTGGGGTGCGAGGCGAGGGGTCTAACCCCTGAGCTACAGGGGCTGTTGGGGTGCGAGGCGAGGGGTCTAACCCCTGAGCTACAGGGGCTGTGGGGTGGGGGCGAGGGGTCTAACCCCTGAGCTACAGGGACTGTGGGGTGCGAGGCGAGGGGTCTAACCCCTGAGCTACAGGGGCTGTGGGGTGGGGGGCGAGGGGTCTAACCCCTGAGCTACAGGGACTGTGGGGTGCGAGGCGAGGGGTCTAACCCCTGAGCTACAGGGGCTGTGGGGTGCGAGGCGAGGGGTCTAACCCCTGAGCTACAGAGATGTCTCACCTTGGTCGCGATCCTGTCGATCTGGGCGTTCTGGGAGCTGATCTCGTTGCCCATGTCCAGGGCCATGTGTCTCAGGTTCCCGATGATGCTGCCAACCTGCTCCAAGTTCTCCTCCATCTCGTTCTCCCGGGTGTCATCTGTCACTCTGCAAACAGGACGGGGAGAGAGAGAGGGGGGGGGAGGTCACTCACTCACACACACACACACACATACATACACACATAGACATAACACACACAGATACATATACACACACACAGACGCACACACACAGATAGATACACACACACAGACATACACACACAGAGATACAGACACACAGACACACACACAGATACATATACACAGACAGATGCACACACACAACAACAAGAAGATTCCATTTATAGAGCGCCTTTCACGTCGGGAGGACGTCCCAAGGCGCTGTACAGTTGGGTCAGGACCCGAGCATTGGGGGGGAGATGGTCAGGGTGAAGGGAGGGAAGGGAGGGGGCGAGGAGGGGGGAAATGGTCAGGGGGAGGGGAGGGAAGGGAGGGGTCGAGGAGGGGGGAAATGGTCAGGGTGAGGGGAGGGAAGGGAGGGAGCGAGGAGGGGGTAGAGACTCGAGAGCGGAGCTGAAGGCTGAAGGTCAAAGAGAAAGGTCTTGAGACCGGCCTTGAAGGAGGAAAGGGAGGAAGCGGCGAAGGCACTGGGGATGGAGTACGTGGGGGGATAGTAGGTCAGAGAGGTAGGAGGGAGCGAGGCTGTGAATGGCCTTGTAGGTGAGGATGAGGATCTTGAGTTCGATCCTCTGGGGGATGGGGAGCAGTGGAGGCGAGCGAGGGCGAGGGTGAGGGTGGGAGTGAGGGCGAGGGTGAGGGCGAGGGTGGGAGTGATGTGGTCTCAGTGTCTGGTGCGGGACAGTACACGAGCTGCAGAGTTCTGAATGACCTGCAGTGTGGAGGGAGGGCCGGGAAGGCCGACGAGGAGAGGGTTCCCGTAGTCCAGCCTTGAGGTGATAAAGGTGTGGACCAGAGTTTCAGCCGTGTGAGGGGTGAGGTAGTGCCGTGGTCTGGTGATGTTCCGGAGGTGATGGAAGGCGGTGCCAGTTGTGCGGATATGAGGGAGAAAGGACAGCTCAGGGTCGAGGGGAACCCCGAGGTTCCTGATGGCTTTGAGAGGTGGAGAGTGCGGAGCTGATGCTGTCAGCGCCTGAGGTGCGGAGGCGCTGACGTGAGCCAATCAGGAGGGCCTCAGTTTTGCGCACGTTGAGCTGAAGAAAGTTGTCTCTCGTCCAGGACTCGATGTCGGACATACAGCTGTCAGGACATCGGGGTCGTGGAGTTGAGGGTAGAGGAGGAAAGGTAGAGTTGGGTGTCATCCGCATACATGTGGGAGTTAACCCCATGTCTGCGGATGATGTCACCACAGGGGGAGCATATAGAGGGTGAAGAGGAGGGGACCGAGGACAGAGCCCTGAGGGACAGCGCACGAGACAGTGCGGGGGGTGGAGGAGAAACCATTCGTGGAACAAGTGAAGACGGTGGGAGCCATTGTGGAAACAAAGTGAAGACGGTGGGAGAGGTACGACCTAAACCACTCAAGGACAGGGCCTTGAAGGTTGAGGTGGGAGGACAAGCGGTGGAGGAGGATAGAGTGGTCGACCGTATCGAATGCTGCCGATAGGTCGAGGAGGACGAGGAGGCAGAGGGAGCCCTGGTCACAGATGGTCAGGATATCATTGGTGACCTTGACCAGGGCAGTTTCTGTGCTATGGGCAGCGCCGAAACCCGACTGAAGGGGTTCAAGTAATGAATGGGTGGAGAGGAAAGAGCGCAGCTGGGAGGCCACAACTCGTTCCAGGACCTTGGGCAGGAAGGGGAGGTTGGAGATGGGCCGGAGATTGATAGCTGCGACGCATCAAGGGAGGGGTTTTTCAAGGTGGGAGTGATGGTGGCAGTTTTTAAGGGAATGGGAACAGAGCCAGAGGGGAGGGACAGGTTGACGCCACACACATACGTACACACACACAGACACACACAGAGATACATACAGACACACAGACACACACAGACACAGACACACACCGTCGGATGTGACCACCGCTCATTGCCATCTGCTCTCGATCATCGACCACCCGTGCGGGTTGGCTGGAAACCACCCCATCCTGATTGTTGCCCCAAACTTTCTTGTACGCTCCCCCGGCCTCAAAGTTCTTTAACCTGCGGCCAAACAGAGACAGCGTCAGTCACCTTCCTCCTCCTCCTCCTCCTCCTCCTCCTCCTCCTCCATCATCATCACCATCAACCCCCCCCATCAGTAAGATTAATATTAATAATACAGTAATAATAATATTAATCATGATATTAATAACAGTAATAATCCCGGCATTTGACCCGGCGCCTGATCACGTCGTCGAGACGTCTCAAAGCGCTTCACAGGACACACTGTAAAGTGTGGTGACTGTTCGCTTTTCACGTCGGGGGGGATGCCCCAAGGCAAAACACGGCAGCGAATTGCGCTCAGCGACGTCCCCACAAACAGCCGTGGAGTGATGATATTGATTGCGATATTAACGACGAGTTAGATAATAATGCGAATAATAACAGCACAGACCAACACCAGCCCTCCCCACAGACACCCACACACACGCACGCCCCCCCACACACGCGGACACACACATGGCCCCCCCCCCACACACACACAGACCTACTTGCTACAGGGACAGGAGCACAGGCCACAGCACTTTCCCATGTCCGACAGATTTTTCTCAGCTTCCTTCATGTCCTTGTTGATCTGGTCCATTCCCTCCTCGATCCTCTCCAGTTGCTCTGAGACACAGAGACGATGTCCGGTCAATATTCCTCAGGCCCCTCACCCCCATATCAGGGGGCATTTAGGGGGAAAATTGGGGCAATGAGAGACGCTCAAACACACCCCCCAACACTATCCCCCCCCCCATACACACACACACTTCTGCCCCTGCAGGGAGGGAGAGAAGAGAGGAAAGGAAGGGAGAGAGGGATAGGGAAGGAAGAGGGAGGAAAAGAGGGGGAATGTATATTTTGGTAGCTGGAAACAGGGGCCATCCAGTCCATTCAGCGTGTTCTCCATCCTATTACATCAGGTGGTCCAACTGGCGGCCCACGGGCCGCATCCGGCCCTCGGACCAGTTTCTTTCACCTCCCCCCACCACCACACACACATACACAGCCCCCCCTATATATACACACATTCACACACAGAGTGTGTGTTGGGGTAACTGTTGGGGTCTAACCAACTAAACCCACACACAGCTCAGCCATCGAGAGAGAGAGAGAGAGAGAGAGGGAGCGCTGTCTGGCCGAGCTTTCCCGCTGCGTGTCCCGCTCGGACCCCCCTCCCCGTTAGTTAGTCGGAGCTTTGGCTGTGGGGTTAACGGGGGCTGAGGGGGAGGATTCCCCGCCCCCAGTGACTGGTCGGCCCTTCCAGGTCCTGCCGATGAACCAGGAATATTTCCCCCCGAATCCGCTCACCTCCTTGTTCATCCAACATGACCAGAGTTCGGATCCCGGCATCTTTGCTCTGTTCGGGAAAACAGGAAGGAAAGGGTGAGGAGCGGGGAATGGGGAAGCCACAATTCCCCACATGTCGTTACCCCTTCCCCCAAATCACCCCCACATTCCCCTTCCCCCAAATCCCCCCCACATTCCCCTTCACTGGTTTCACACTCACACAGACACACACACAGGAGACGAGAGAGAGAGAGAGAGAGAGAGGGTCTGAGCCACACAGGTTGACATTAACTCACCTCATCCATAAGCTGTAGCATACGCCTTGTGCTCTCGAGAGACTGGAGGGGAGAGAGAGAGAGAGAGAGAGAGACGTGGGGGGAGAGAGATAGGGAGAGTGAGAGCGAGAATGAGGGGTAAGAAGGAGAGGGAGAGAGAGAAAGGGTGTAGAAGAGGGGGAAAAGGGAGAGGAGGAGAGAGAGAGAGAGAGAGGGGGAGGAAAATAAATCGAGACGTTAGTTTCTTTTGAGCCGACCTATTTAATCAAACGCATCAACAACAATTTGCACTTTCCCCCCGTTTTCACGTCAAGTGTAGTGACTGTGTGTTTTGTGGGGGGAGGTGCTCGTGGCTCGGACTCTTGCGTCCCCCTCTCCCTCCCGTGTCTCGGACCCTCGTGGTGCGTGTGATCGTGCGCGAGTGTGTGTGAGCGATTGAGTATGTGTGTCTGTCACTGTGTGTGTGTGCGGTGAGTGTGCGGTGAGTGTGTGCGGTGTGTGTGTGTGTGGCGTACGCTTGTGCGTAGGGTGCGTGTGTATGATGTGCGTATGAGTGTGTGCCGTGTGCAAATGGTGTATGCGTGTGTGTATGGTGTGCGCCCGCGCGCCGCGTGTATGCTGTGTGTGCGGTGTGCATGGTGGGCGTGTATGGTATGTGTGCGTGTGCGCGAGTGTGTGCGCGCTGTGCGTGCGTGTGCTGCGCTGTGCGTGTGTGTGTGTGTGTGCACGCGAGACTCTCACCTCGTCTGTGACCTGGTCTGCGCATCGCTGCAGTTCATCTTGTTCTGTGGGGACAGGAATCTCCCCGTTCACGGCCACACTCATCCCGGCCCCGTCACCGGCTCACACACCACTGGCTGCACTGGGGCTCGGGCTGCACCGGGGCTCGGGCTGCACCGGGGCTCGGGCTGCACTGGGGCTCGGGCTGCACCGGGGCTCGGGCTGCACCGGGGCTCGGGCTGCACCGGGGCTCGGGCTGCACTGGGGCTCGGGCTGCACTGGGGCGACGACGAAGCAATCGCAACGAGACTCTGTAACACACAAGCGAAGAGAAGATAAGAGCACGTCTGCCCCCCCCCCCCCCCCCCACTCCCCCCGGCTGTTGGCTTGTGACGTGTGGTCGGGCGCCATCGGCCGCCGGGTTTCGCCCCCACCCCCAAAGAACACGCACAGTCACTCCGCGCGGCCGCGGGTCCCGCAAAGCACTTTCCAGGCGACTCGAAGACGATGTGTTGTCGTGTGAGAGAGAGAGAGAGAGAGAGAGACACAGCATCGCTCTGTTTGTCTCTGCCATTGTGTGGGGGGAGGGGGGAGAAAGAGAGGGGAGGAGGGGGGAGAGGGGGGGACGGGGAGGAGAGAGAGGAGGGGGACGGGATGGGGTGGGGGGGGGACCTGGACAGGGTTACTGTCGCCGTATATTCTTCAGTAACAAGACTGCAGGGAAACGTGAACCAGTGACGGTCTCTCTCTCTCTCGCTCTCTCCTTTTCCTTCTCTCCCTATCGTCTCTTCCTCGCCCACTCCCCTTCTCACCCCCTCTCCCTCTCGCCTTCCCTCTCTCTCTGCCCTACTCTCCTTCCCCCTCTCTCTCCCTCTCTCTCTCTCTCTCTCCCCCTCTCTCTCTCTCTCTCTCTCTCGCCCTCTCTCTCTCTGATCATTGCTCAGACCCAGTGAAAGGCTCTGATTTATCGCATTAACAAACTGCCCGAAGCTAAACCCACACACACAGACACCAGGAACATCTCCCACACACAGACAGACACACACAGACAGACACAGACACACACACACACACAGATACTCACACACAGATACTCACACACAGACACATACACAAGGACACAGACACCAGGAACATCTCCCACACACAGACAGACACACACAGACAGACACAGACACACACACACACACACACACACAGATACTCACACACAGACACATACACAAGGACACAGACACCAGGAACATCTCCCACACACAGACAGACACAGACACACACACACACACACAGATACTCACACACAAACACAGACACACATAAACACAGACACACACAGACACATACACACACAGACACACACACAGACACACACACAGACACACATACATAGACACACAGACATTCACACATACACAGACAGAGACACACACAGACACACACACAGATACATACACACAGACACACACAGACAGACATACATAGACACACAGACACAGTGCAGAAGGAGACGCAGTCTGGAGGGGGGGAGACAGTGAGAGCAGTTTGCGGCAAAATCATAGACAGAGAGAATATAACCTGAGCTTCACTGACATCCTGTGTGTGTGTGTGTGTGTGTGTGTGTCTCTCTCTCCGTGTCTGTGTGTGTGTGTATCTTTGTGTATGTGTGTCTGTGTGTGTATTTCTTTTGGTGACTGTGTGTGTTTGTGTCTGTGTTTAGGTGTCTGTGTGTGTGGGTGTGTGTTTCTGTGGGTGTCTGTGTGTGTTTCTGTGGGTGTCTGTGTGTACGTGTGTCTGTGTGTGTGTTTCTGTGGGTGTCTGTGTGTACGTGTGTCTGTGTCTGTGTGTGTTTCTGTGGGTGTCTGTGTCTGTGTGTGTGACTGTCCTTTCTTCCCTCTCTCTAATTAATGTCGTTCGTTAAGGCGTCTTTGCTACGTGAGAGATACTGTACACAACAATAATAATAATAATAATAATTCCGGCATTTGACCCGGCGTCTGATCAGGTCGTTGAGAAGTCTCAAAGCGCTTCATAGGATACACCGTAAAGTGTAGTGACTGTGTGTTTTGTGGACGAAACGCGACAGCCGATTGCGCCCAGAGACGTCCCCACAGACAGCCGTGGGTTGTGTGACCAAAATTTTTTATTGTTTTGAAGGGATTATTCCCCCGGAAAGTGATCCCCAATCGACTAACAGCCGGGTTCCCACTGACTGCCGGGGAACACAGGCGCGTGTGTGCGTGTGTGTGTATGTGTGTGCGTGTGGGGGGTGGAGGGGGGGGGGGTTGGGGGGTGTAAGGTTTCGCCCTGACCTGACCCGCGCGGGAATTGAACCCGGGTCCTCTGGGTTGTGAGGGGTCTAACCCCTGAGCTGTGAATTATTAATTATTATAATATTTCACAGAGCGCGAGGGACAACGACAACAACGCATGACATTCTCACGTCAGGAGGACGTCCCGAGGCGCTGGACAGTCAGGGATGTGGATCTGAGCTGGGGGTTGGGATCAGGAGGGGGTGGAGGGAGGGAGGGAGGGAGGGGGTAGGGGGTTGACTGAAGGCGCAGTTGGTCGAAGAGAAGGGTCTTGAGATGACTGGGAGGTCAGTCGGGTGTCTATGTTTCTCTGTGAGGGGGACCTGGAAGGGTTGACCAGTCACTGGGGGCCGGGAATCCTCCCCCTCAGCCCCTGTTAACCCCACAGCCAAAGCCAAACTAACTAACTAACGGGGAGGGGGGTCCGAGCGGGACAAGCAGCGGAAAGCTTGGCCAGACAGCGCTCGCTCTCTCTCTCTCTCTCTCTCTCTCTCTCTCTCTCTCGAGGGCTGAGCTGTGTGTGGGTTTAGTCGGTTGGACAAAACACACTCAATCCATTCTACACCACATTCTGAGAAGCGCTTTGAGACGACGTGATAAGGCGTTGGTCAAATGCCAGGATTATGATTATTATTATTATTATAATTATTATAATGCAGTATTATTGGGTCCGTAGACGAGGGAATAAATTCGGGCGTCAAGATGGTGGGAATAGCTGTGGGCGTTATGTGAGATGAGAGAATGAGGGAGACACGGACTGATGAAAGGGTTTCCGATGTATTGCTCATCTCCATTAACTGCCGCCCGACTGTAAAGGGGAACGAAGGGCAAACGAAAAGATCTTGTGAAGCCATCGACAGGAGTTTGGCTCCAGTCCAGGTCTGTAGCCAGACTCAAACACTGATGAGCTTTCAGACGCTTCCCCCCCCAACAACTCCCCCTCTCTCTCTCTCTCTCCCTCCCCAACCGACAACCGCACCCCCCCCCCACCCCATCCTAACTGCACCAATGCTGTGTGCCAGCGGTGGCTCAGTCACTCACGCGCTCAGCTCTTGAGTCAGAAGGTTATACAGCAATAGAATAATCCTCGCATTCGGCGCAGACGTCTTCGAGACGTCTCAAAGCGCTTCGCAGGATACGCCGTAAGTGCAGTGACTGTGTGTGTGTGTGTGTGTGTTTCGTGGGCGAAACGCCCGGCGACGTCCCCCACAAACAGTCGTGGGTTGAAGTGACCGTATTGTTGAAGTGACCGTACAGCGGTGGAGCAAATGGGGCAATTGGGCATCAGTCGCTCTCTCTCTCTCTCGCCTCTGAGTCAGAAGGTTGTGGGTTTAAGCCCCATGTCAGGACTTGGAAACTCCATCCCACAGTCACTCCGCCTCGCCCCTTCCCTCGCCCCCTCCCTCACCCCCTCCCTCTCCCCCTCCCTCGCCCCCTCCCTCACCTCGTCCCTCGCCCCCTCCCCCGCCCGCTGCCACCCTCACCCTCCCTGCCCTCCGCCCCCTCCTGATCCCAACCCCTAGTGGATTGTCGGCCGAGAGAGAGAGAGGGAGAGACTCCCTTCTCTTTCCCCCCACCCCTCCCCACCCCTCCGACAGCTCCTGGTCCGTGAGCTCAGAGAACCCGACAAGTGTGGTGTGTGCGTTGGGGTTCGAACCCCAACAAACTCCTAACTCAGAGACACGAGAGAGAGAGAGAGAGAGAGAGAGTGAGATGCGAGGATATTTTGAGTGTTTAATGCAGAGAGAAAGACTGTGGCAGGAATTGCGCAAAGTGTCAGACAACATTGCGAGCGGCTGTTTAAACGCAGAACGATCTGAAACAGACAGACACAGAGCCTCATTATCTTCCTGCGTCAGGAGAAACATTTCACTGGCACAGCCTTGCTTTGGAGAGAGCGAGCGAGCGAGAGAGCGAGGGCAAGAGAGAGAGAGAGAGGGAGGGGGAGAGAGAGAGAGAAGGGGTGGGGGAGAGAGAGAGAGAGAGGGGGGGGGGAGAGAGAGAGAGAGAGAGGGGGTGGGGGAGAGAGAGAGGGAGGGGGGGGGGAGAGAGAGAGAGGGAGGGATGGTGAGATAAAGGGTGGGAGGAGGTATTCGTGGGGTTGAGCGATGGGACCGAGGTGTGTGGGTGTTTGATGTGAGATGGATTCTCACTGTGTGTGTGCGTGTGGGGTGGGGGCGGGGGGGGGGGGCGCGGTTGGGGTGGGGGTGAGGGACACACACTGTGTTACAGTGTTCGGTCAAATGACATCCTCTCTCACTAAAACGGTTAGAAACAGCCGTAAATCACACTCCGCGGGAGAGAGAGGGACGGAGACAGAGCAGCGCAGAGCAGAGAGGCTGATCTAAGCTGATGCTCTGGGGCAGAGCTGCGGGGAGGCTTTCTCTCTCCCTCTCTCCCCCCGTCTGTACCCTGTTCAGGCGGACGTTAAAGATCTCCCACAGCGCTATTGTTGGGGGGAAAGGGGAGAGTCTCTCTCTCTCTCTCTCTCTCGGTGTCCTGGCCGACAAATTCTCCCCCACAGATAAAATCAGTCACTCAGTCCACGACTGTTTGTGGGGACGTCGCTGGGCACACTTGGCCGTGTTTCATCCTCCCAAAATACACAGTCACTACACTTTACAGTGAATCCTGTGAAGCGCTTTGAGACGACTCAAGTTCTGAGGCTCTGTATCAAATGCGTGGATTATTATTATTATTATTATTAATAATATGGCCTATTGAGGTTTTGTGATTGTAAAATAACTCTCTCTCTCTCCCTGGAGGGACGCCCCCTGTTTACCTAATTCCGGAGAGTATTAGGCGCAGGTTGGCGAGAGCCAAGGCTTTGGGTGGGGTGGGGGGAGAGCCCAGAGTGTGCGTTGGGGTAACTGTTGGGGTCTAACCAACTAAACCCACACACAGCTCAGCCATCGAGAGAGAGAGAGAGAGAGAGAGAGAGCGCTGTCTGGCCGAGCTTTCCCGCTGCGTGTCCCGCTCGGACCCCCCTCCCCGTTAGTTAGTTAGTTAGTTAGTGCTTTGGCTGTGGGGTTAACAGGGACTGAGGGGGAGGATTCCCCGCCCCCAGTGACTGGTCGGCCCTTCCAGGTCCTGCCGATGAGCCGGGCCGGGATGGGCTGCCATCAGCCGTGAGTGCCCCGGGACCCTGTGGACCCACCGAGTGCCCTGGAGTACTTTGGGACACAAGATGTCAAGCGACTGCCAGGATGGTGGAAGGTGAACCAGATGGACCTCGGTTTTCTTTGTCAGCAAATTCTTATGTTCTTATTTTTTCTCCCCAAAAAGCAAGAAACCTTTATCCAAAGCGATTCTCGCAGAGGCTCCTGACACAGCTTGCTTTTAAGCTTTGTTTTTTGGTTGCTGCTTTGAACTTATGAATAAATGTCTTACCGTTGACTGCCTTTGAGTTGGTTTCCTTCAAAAAAATAAGAATAATAGGAATTCCTGCAGTGGTTAGACCCTCGCCTCGCTAGCGAGAGGAGCCGGGTTCGATTCCCGGGCAGGTCGGGCTAAATGTCCTTACATCACACACACACACACACATCTCTGTTTACCAGCGGTAAGTAGGGACCTGCTTGTTAGTTGATTTGATTGGCGGCTCGCTTTTCCGGGGGGTAATAATCCCTTAAAAAAATAATAATAATTTGGTCCCCCTGTTTGAAGACTACTCTGATGAAATCGCCAATAATAATAATAATAATAATAACAATTCTTGCATTCGACACAGCGACTGATCAAGTCTTCAAGATGTTTGAAAACGCTGCACAGGGGGACGGAATTCCAGAGGTTGGGGGCAGAGCGGCTGAAGGCTCTCACGCCAATGGTGGGGCGGGTGGGTCGGGGGACGTGGAGCAGCCGGAGCGGCTGAGCGGAGGGAGCGGGCGGGTTGGTAGGGGGTTAGCAGGTCACAGAGATAGGGTGGGGCGAGGCCATGGAGGGCGTTGTAGGTGAGGACCAGGATCTTAAACTGGATCCTCTGAAGGATAGGGAGCCAATGGAGTCGGCCGAGAGTGGGGGAGATGGGGTCACGGAGTTTGGTGCGGGAGAGGACACGGGCGGCAGAGTTCTGGATTATCTGCAGCTGTGGAGGGAGGGGTTGGGAAGGCCGACACGCAGAGCGTTTGCATAGTCGAGCCTGGAGGGGATGAAGGCCAGCAGAGGGCGAAACTTGGGCAAGTTTCCTTACTCCACACAGAGCCTAATAATAATCCTCCAAAACCACAAACAATAATAAATTGGTCATTTTCAATCCATATGACTGTTTGTGGGACATTGCTGTGCGCAATTGGCTGCCGCGTTCGCCCACAAATACACAGTCAATTCACTTTACAGTGTGTTCTGTGAAGCGCTTTGGGACGTCCTCCCGACGTGAAAAGCGCTATATCGAATGCAAGGATTATTATTATTATTATTTTATTATTATTAAGGCATGAACAAGAGTTTCAGTGGCCTGAGGGGTAAGGGAGTGGCGGAGTCAGGAGATGTTATGGAGGTGAGGGAAGGCAGAGCGGATCATGGCTTGGATGTGGGGAAGAAAAGACAGATGAGGGTTGAATAAGACCCCCAGGTTCCTGACTGGCGGTGTGCAACCATGGAGGTTGATGCTGCCAGAGCCTGAGGTGCGGAGGCGCTGGCGCGAGCCAATCGGGAGTAAAGTGGAGCGACTGTGTGTTTTGTGGGCGAAACGCGGCAGCCAATTGCGCCCAGCGACGTCCCACAGACAGCCGTGGGTTGTGTGACCAAAATTTTTTATTGTTTTGAAGGGATTATTACCCCCGGAAAGTGATCCCCCCCCCAATCGACTAACAGCCGGGTTCCCACTGACTGCCGGACACAGCGCGTGTTAGGCGTGTTGTGTGTATGTGTGTGCGTGTGGGGGGTGGGGGGGGGGTTGGGGGGTGTAAGGTTTCACTCTGACCTGAACCGCTCGGGAATCGAACCCGGGTCCTCTGACTTGTGAGGCGAGGGGTCTAACCCCTGAGCTACAGGGGCTGTGGGGTGGGGGGTCTAACCCCTGAGCTACAGGGGCTGTGGGGTGGGGGGTCTAACCCCTGAGCTACAGGGGCTGTGGGGTGGGGGGTGAGGGGTCTAACCCCTGAGCTACAGGGGCTGTGGGGTGGGGGTGAGGGGTCTAACCCTGAGCTACAGGGCTGTGGGGTGGGGGGTGAGGGGTCTAACCCCTGAGCTACAGGGGCTGTGGTGTGTGGTGAGGGGTCTAACCCTGTGGCTGTGGGTGGGGGTGAGGGGTCTAACCCCTGTGGTTGTGGAGTGGGGGTGAGGGGTCTAACCCCTGTGGCTGTGGGGTGGGGGTGAGGGGTCTAACCCCTGTGGCTGTGGGGTGGGGGTGAGGGGTCTAACCCCTGTGGCTGTGGGGTGGGGGTGAGGGGTCTAACCCCATGAGCTACAGGGGCTGTAGGGGGGAGGGGGTGAGGGGTCTAACCCCTGAGCTACAGGGGCTGTGGGGTGGGGGTGAGGGGTCTAACCCCTGTGGCTGTGGGGTGGGGGTGAGGGGTCTAACCCCTGTGGCTGTGGGTGGGGATGAGGGGTCTAACCCCTGTGGCTGTGGGTGGGGTGAGGGTCTAACCCCTGGGGTACAGGGGTTGTGGGGTGGGGGTGAGGGGTCTAACCCCTGTGGCTGTGGGGTGGGGGTGAGGGGTCTAACCCCTGGGGTACAGGGACTCCGCTGTCTCTGCAATAGAAGGTTATGGATTCCATCCCATATGGGGACATGGTCCAGGGGGGCGGGATCGCTTCACCTATCAATCACCTGAAAGCCACCCTCTGATTGGTTTAGACTCCGCCCTTTGCGTCACGCGGAAAGCTCCGCTCTGATTGGCCTTCGCACCTGTCAATTAATCGATCGACAGACCCACGCCCCCTCTCGGCTCTGATTGGTCGGGAGCTCGCGGAGGCGCCGCGCCAACACGACCTCCGATTGGCTCCAATTTACGTCAATCAGCGGGAGGTCGAGCTGTGATTGGTCAGATAGCGCGTCACTCACTTACTCCCTCCCTCACTCGTGCCCTCCTCAACCTCTGATTGGCATCGGCCGCCTGGTCCCGCCTTCTCTTCCGGTTGGCGCCATTTTTGCCTTCTCGCGCAGCGCTGTGGGCGGCGGTTGTCGTCGTGAGAAGGTGACAGAGGAGAGAGAGAGAGATACGGAGTGAGGGAGAGAGAGTGAATGAATGAATGAACGAGAGAGAGAGGGAGTGAATGAGAGACAGAGAGGGAGTGAATAAGAGAAAGAGAGAGAGGGAGTGAATGAGAGAGAAAGAGAGGAAGTGAATGAGAGAGAGAGAGAGGAAGTGAATGAGAGAGAGGGAGTGAATGAGAGAGAAAGAGAGGAAGTGAATGAGAGAGAGGGAGTGAATGAGAGAGAAAGAGAGGGAGTGAATGAGAGAGAAAGAGAGGGAGTGAATGAGAGAGAAAGAGAGGGAGTGAATGAGAGAAAGAGAGAGGGAGTGAATGAGAGAAAGAGAGGAAGTGAATGAGAAAGAAAGAGAGGGAGTGAATGAGAAAGAAAGAGAGGGAGTGAATGAGAGAAAGAGAGGGAGTGAATGAGAGAGAAAGAGAGGGAGTAAATGAGAAAGAAAGAGAGGGAGTGAATGAGAGAAAGAGAGAGGGAGTGAATGAGAGAGGGAGTGAATGAGAGAGAAAGAGAGGGAGTGAATGAGAGAGAGAGAGGGAGTGAATAAGAGAAAGAGAGAGAGGGAGTGATTGAGAGAGAAAGAGAGGGAGTGAATGAGAGAAAAAGGGAGTGAATGAGAGAAAGAGGAAGTGAAAGAGAGAGAGGGAGTGAATGAGAGAGAAAGAGAGGGAGTGAATGAGAGAGAGAGGGAGTGAATGAGAGAGAAAGAGAGGGAGTGAATGAGGGAGAGAGAGGGAGTGAATGAGAGAGAAAGAGAGGAAGTGAATGAGGGAGAGAGAGGGAGTGAATGAGAGAGAAAGAGAGGGAGTGAATGAGAGAGAGAGGGAGTGAATAAGAAAAAGAGAGAGAGGGAGTGATTGAGAGAGAGAGAGTGATTGAGAGAGAAAGAGAGGGAGTGAATGAGAGAAAGAGAGAGGGAGTGAATGAGAGAGAAAGAGGGGGAGTGAATGAGAGAGAGAGGGAGTGAATAAGAGAAAGAGAGAGAGGGAGTGATTGAGAGAGAAAGAGAGGGAGTGAATGAGAGAAAAAGAGGGAGTGAATGAGAGAAAGAGGAAGTGAAAGAGAGAGAGGGAGTGAATGAGAGAGAAAGAGAGGGAGTGAATGAGGGAGAGAGAGGGAGTGAATGAGAGAGAAAGAGGGAGTGAATGAGGGAGAGAGAGGGAGTGAATGAGAGAGAAAGAGAGGGAGTGAATGAGAGAGAAAGAGAGGAAGTGAATGAGGGAGAGAGAGGGAGTGAATGAGAGAAAAAGAGGGAGTGAATGAGAGAAAGAGAAGTGAAAGAGAGAGAGGGAGTGAATGTGAAAGAGAGAGAGAGAGGGAGTGAATGAGAGACTGAGAGAGGAAAGAGGGAGTGAATGAGAGAGAGAGAGAGAGGGAGTGAATGAGAGAGAAAGAGAGGGAGTGAATGAGAGAGAAAGAGAAGGAGTGAATGAGAGAAAGAGAGAGGGAGTGAATGAGAGAAAGAGAGGAAGTGAATGAGAGAGGGAATGAATGAGAGAGAAAGAGAGGGAGTGAATGAGAGAGAAAGAGAGGGAGTGAATGAGGGAGAAAGAGGGAGTGAATGAGAGAGAGAGAGGGAGTGAATGAGAGAGGGAGTGAATGAGAGAGAAAGAGAGGGAGTGAATGAGAGACAGAGAGATAGAGAGTGAATGAGAGAGAATGAAAGAATGAGAGAGAGGGAGTGATTGAAAGAGGGAGTGAATGAGAGAGGGAGTGAATGAATGAGAGAGTGAGAAGGAGTGAATGAGAGAGGGGGAGTGATTGAGAGAGAAATAGAGAGTGAATGAGAGAGGGAAAGAGAGCGGGAGTAATTGAGAGAGAAAGAGAGAGGGAGTGAATGAGAGAGAATGAGAGAGGGAGTGAAAGAGAGAATGAGAGAGGGAGTGAATGAGAGAGAGAATGAGAGTGAATGAGAGAGAGGGAGTGATTGAGAGAGAGAGAGTGAAAGGGAGGGAGTGATTGAGAGAATGTGTACGAGAGAAAGAGGAAGTGATTTAGAGCGAAAGAGAGACAGAGAGAGAGAGAATGAGAGAGAAAGAGAGGGACGGAAACCTATCACTCACTCATCTTCGGAGCAACCCGTCCGGATTTAGAGCTATGAGAGGTTTCAGTGGTTTATTAGGAGCTGCTGAGCGTCTGCTATTGGATTACTGCGTTTAATCCTCTCAACAAAGCTGTGTTTTAATAACAGTTTTACACAAGCAACTTGATCCTGATCTAAAGCCACATGTTCTGAGTCCAAACCTCCTGGGGCGAGGGTCGTGCAGCGACCCTGGGGGAGGGAGGGAGGGAGGGAGGGAGTGGGTGGGTGGGTTGAATGGGGTCCCTCGTGTTTTTTTTTCTCGAATTTCTTCCTTTCTCCCCTGACGCGGGTAGCGGTCGGAGCGCGAGCGAGCGAGAGGACCTGGGGTTTGATTCCCGGGCGGGCAAGGTCAGGGAGAAACCTTAGGCGAGGTTCCTGACTACACACGAGCGCACACACACGCGCACACGCGTGCGCGCCGCTGTTACGCGCCGTAAGTAGGAACCGCTTGTTGGATGGGTTTCGGGGACGCTGCCCTGTGTGAGGGCACTATATAACAACAACAAGATTATATTTGTACATAAACGCAAGTTGTCGTTCACTATCCAACTGGAAATTATTGTTGCGTCCAACGTCAGGAGGGCGGGTGACCAGGAGTGGGACAGGAACTGGTGGTGTGGGTCCCGTGGTGACGAGTCCTTGTTGTATTTTAGAAAGCGTTAGGACGCTGAGCGCGATGGAAAGGCCCAAGGAGAGCAGACGATCCATTCGATTGGCCGCTTTGTTGCCTCTGCACGTGGCCAGCTCGCCTTCGAAGGCCGGCGTTAGCTGCTCGGAAGAGGAGGCGACCGGGGCCTCTGTTCCGGACGTTTCCACGGCGGAACCGGGGGCCAATGCATCTGCGTGTACCACACCACAGCTCCCAAGTGAGACAACGGAGAGCAATGGGCAATTGTTGATGCAGACTGACGCGACTGAAACAGGTGCTTAAGGAATCAACAAGAGGAAACTTGGTGCATGGGAGAGGGATCTCACAGTGGTTTGAGTGCTTGACTCACCAGCGACAGGACCGGCCGGGTCAGATCAAGGCAAAACCTTAAGCGAGTTTCCTTACTCCACACACACGTGCGCACACTTCTGTTTATCAGCAGTCAGTAGGAACCCGCTTGTTAATCAATCGGCCAATTGCTTTCCGGGGGTGATAATCCCTTAAAAGAAATAATAATTTGGTCACTCAATCCACGACTGTTTGTGGGTTGACGTCGCTGGGCGCAATTGGCTGCCACGTTTCACCCACAAAATGCAGTCACACCACTTTACAGTGTGCCCTGCGAAGTGCTTTGAGACGTCTCGAGGACGTGATAAGGTGATAAGGCGCTGCGTCAAATGCAAGGATTATTATCGTTATTTATAATTGGAAGCTTACGTCTTTTAAGCGCTCTGGACGCCACTCTGCGTGAGGCGGCGCTATATTGTTATTGACTTTCCGTTAGGTCATGCGGACGAGCCTTCTGCAGTCTTGGAGCCAGATGAGGAAACTCTGATGGATTTGCTGAGCCTGTTTAAAGATAAGAATGTGAACCCCGTATCTGCTCTGCACGTCTTTTCCCAACGCAAAGGATGTTCCGTGCATTTCCGTGAGGTGGAGAATTCAGGTATTCTAAATCATACGTGTTACCCAATGGAGGAAGGGAGTACAAAGGTGCAGATGAGGGGTGGGGGGCCGTGTGAAGTGCCACGGTGCAGTGGTTAGAGCATTTGCCTCATAAGCGACCCAGGTTTGATTCGCAGGCGAGTCAGGTCAACGCGAACCTTAGGCACGTTTCCTTACTCTACACACACACTTCACTTTTGTGAAGGTGCTCTGTAATTTGGGAGTGGAGGTACAGATCAGCCATGATCTAAAAGAATGGCGGAACAGGCTCGAGGGGCTGAATGGCCTCCTCTGTCCCTAAATGCAGGTGGTTGTTGTTGGTAGAGCAGGGAGCTATGGGCTGGGTGTGCAAATGTCATTTGTTGTTGTCATGCCCTCCATTGGCGGCCGAGCTTTCAGTCACTACACCCTGAAACTCTGTCACTCTCTTCCCTCAACCTCTGCTCCTTGCCCCCCTCCTCCTTCCCCATCTTCAGGTCTGGCCTGAAGACCTTCCTCTTCGACCGTCACCTCCTCCCCCTACTCCCTCCCCCCGGCTCGGGTTCGTGCTCTGCCACTGACAAGAGCTCTGGGGCGCTAAACTGCGTGAGGGGGCGCTGTGAAAATGCACATTGTTGTTTGAATGGGGCTATTCGAGTGCAAGTTGCGGCCGAGTTTGTAAACGGGAGGGGAAAAAAAAACGTACTGACTGTCTCTTGCTCTGTTTGGCAGGAGCCACGGCAATGTTCTGCTACTCGATTCGTGCCGTGGTCGACGGGGTCGAGTATGAAGAGGGTGTCGGCAGCAGCAAAAAAGAAGCCAAGTACAACTGCGCTCAGATTGCCTTGAAGGAACTCAGCAAACAACTGCAGCAGAAAGTCTCGAAGGGTACAACAACAACAACAACAAGATCGCCTTTCACGTCGGGAGGACGTCCCAAGGCGCTGGACAGTTGGGTCGGGACCCGAGCACTGGGGGGGGGGGGAACGGTCAGGGTGAGGGGAGGGAAGGGAGGGAGGGAGCGAGGAGGGGGGAGAGTGCAGCCTTGGGTGAATGAGTGGGTAAGTGAGTCATCGGGTTCTCCGTGGCGTAGTGATTAGCACACTCCCCTCGCAAGGAAGCGACTGAGAGGACCAGGCGGGAGGGTCAGGGCTATACCCTCGCACGCGCGCGCACACTCACACACACACACACGCACACCTCTGTTTACACAGCAGTCAGTCAGAACCCGGTTGTTAGTCGAATGGCGGATCGCTCCCAAAAATTTGGTCACTCAACCCGTGGTTGGTTGTGAGACGCTGCTGTGGGCAATTGGCTGCCGCGGATCTCCCAAACAAAATACACGGTCACCGACACTTTACGGTGTGTCCCGTGAAGCGCTTTGAGGCGTCGCTCGGCGCCGCGAGATTGATTGGAGATCAAGGTGAACGTGGTTATCGAAGCTGAGCTGCGACGCAGCTCTGCAGTCGCACTGCTCCCCTGCCTGTAGTAGTTGTTGTTGTTGTTGTTGTTTTAAGAACAATCCAACAGCGCTCCCAGCAGGCCTGCGATGGAACTGCTCCCGAGCAAGGCTGCAGGAACCACTCACTGAAGGTGCTTCCCCCTAACACCCCACAGGCACTGCAGAAACTATGGCAAATAAGGGTTACAGTGTCTGTGCTGGTGCTCACTCCCCCACTTGAGCTTTTTCCTCTAACCCCATTTTCCGCACTCTCTCTCTCTCTCTCTCTCTCTCTCTCTCTCCCCCCGCCGTGCCTGCTGGTGCTCGCTCCCCCACTGGAGCTCTCTACTCCAATCCCATTCCCTGCTTTCTCCCCAAACTGTGCGCAATTGGCTGCCGCATTTCGCCCACGAGATATACAGTAGCTACACCTTACAGTATATCCTGTGAAGCGCTTTAAGACGTCTCAAAGACGCGATAGGCAGCTGTATCAAATGTAAGGATTATTATTATTATTGTTGTATTAAATTTTGTTCTGATTGGCGTTGGCTCAAGAAATGATGTGTTTGTCCTTAATCAGCAGCGCTTCCTGAACCACCCAACAGCAACCGGACAGCACCTGTGAGAAAGCTACAGAAGCCGAACGGTAAGAATAGCTGAGGCTCAAAACTCTTGAGGGGCGCGAGGAGCGACACACGGGAGTTAAAGCGTTGAAGAATGTGGTGTAGGAAGAGATTTGGAAAGATTTGGAGATTTGTTTAATAAAAAAACAACTTGCATTTACACAGCTCCCCTCACGCAGCGCAGCGTCCCAGCACGATGCCGAGCCGGGGGGAGGGAGGGGGGAGTTGACTGTAGGCGTGGTGGAAGAGGAAGGTCGTCAGGCGCGACCTGAAGATGGGGAAGAGGTTGGGGGCAAGGTGGAGGGAGGGATAGAGGGAGAGTGTGACAGAGTTTCGAATATGATTTAGGAAGTTAGGAAGCAGAGATACAGACGCAATGGGCTGAATGGTCTCCTGTGTTGAGAATGTATTCCTTCAAAATAATAACCCTTGCATTTGATTCAGCGTCTTATCATGTCTTCTAGACGTCTCAAAGCGCTTCACGGGATATACTGTAATGTGAATTGACTATATTTTGTGGGCGAGACGCGGCAGCCAATTGCACACAGCAGCGTCCCACAAACAATCATGGATTGAGTGACCAATTTATTCTTATTTGTGTGTTTCTATCCCTCTTTTGTTTCAGAAAACCCAGTTATTCACCCCATCCGCTGTGCAGCAGTGAGCAGCTGTGTATTTAACATCCTCTTAAACTCTGTTCCCAAGCACAAGAGCCATGGGGGGAGTTTAGCAGCTTTCATAGTGGAGAGAGGTAAGTTACAACCACCTACGGAGTGATTATAGCCTACGTATGTTTGATTATAGGTGCTGGCAGTCAGTGATTCTTAATATAGCTCAATTCTATAGAACAACATTCACTTTCCACTTTACTTGGAGTGGTTAGAGCGCTCACAAACGAGAGGATCCAGGTTTGATTCCTGGGCAGGTCAGGTCAGGGCGAAATCTTAGGAAAGTTTCCTTACTCCACACACGCGCGTGCAGACACGCACACATACCACACACACACACACACATGCCTGTGTTTCCCAGCAGTCAGCAGGAACCCACTTGTTAGCGGATTGGGGGAATCACTTTCCGGGGGGTAATAATAATCCCTCCAAATAACAAATAATGATAATAATAATAATTTGGTCTCTCAATCCAAGCTCCTACCCCCACCCTCCCTGCCCTCCACCCCTCCTGATCCCATCCCCCAGTCCAGCTCGGGGTAAAATCCCTGACTGTCCAGCAACTTGGTACATCTTCTCGACGTGACAGGCGCTGTGTAAATGTCACGTGTTGTTGTTTTGATAGTGACAGAGGATTCCAAAGGGGAGACCAGTGAATGCTATGAAGTTGTTGCTTTGGGAACAGGTGATACTTGTTACAGCGGTTGGATGCATTTTGACGGACGGTTACTGCACGACTGCCATGCGGTGGTGGTAGCGAGGCGAGCGTTCCAGAGGTACTGACTGAGACAGGAATTCTGTGACCGCACAAATGGGGGTCTGCACACAAGGGGGTGGCGGACGCAGTTTGTGGTGTCCCCCCATAGCATAGTGGTTAAAGCGCTCGTCGCTGTCAAGCGCTCCAGGACACTACCCCGTGTGAGAGGCGCTATATAAGTACAAATTGTTGTACCTCTTGAAGCACTTTACAGGATATACTGTGAAGGGAACGTGTGTGTGTACTGTGATATCTGTTATTCCAGGTACCTGTATAAGCAGCTGCTTCTGGCCTGCACTAACAATGCCACCGCGTTGGACAAGTGTATCTTCTCCCAATCTGCCCAAAACGGTCTGTCGCTCAAGAGCAAAGTGTTTATCCATCTCTACCTCAGCCAAGTGCCATCTGGGGCGGCTCAGAGCAAGCTCATGTAGGTATCCTCACACGAGTTGTTTTATACAGTTAACCTCACATAAGGTTTGACCCACAAAATAAACAGTCAATTCACTTTACAGTGTATCCTGTGAAGCAGTTTGAGACGTCTCGAAGACTTGATAAGGCGCTGTATCAAATGCAAGAATTATTATTAGTTCCTGTAAGCCTTATCAGGCTTGTGGGACCATTCACAAGTCATGTGGAGAGTCATGATTAACATCAAACTTGCATAGAATATAAACCCTTGATTGGGACTTTGGCGATCAGCACGGATAGAGCACTCGCCTCCCAAGCAGGAGGACCCCAGGTTCGATTCCCGGGCGGGTTATTGGTCGATCGCTTTCCGGAGAAGTAGTAATCCCTTAAAAATAAATAGTAAATTGGGTCACTCAATTCACGACTGTTTGTGGGACGTTGCTGTGGGCAATTGGCTGCCGTGTTTCGCCCATATAGTCAATTCACTTTACAGTGCATCCTGTGAAGAGCTTTGAGAAGCCTCAAAGACGTGATGAGGAGCTGTATCAACTGCCAGAATTATTGTTATTATTAACAACATTTTCTTCCTTGCTTTCTCTACCACAGGGAGCCAGAGCCGTACAGAAACCCTGAAATGCGGCTGCAAGTTCACTCCAAAGGCGCGGTGGTGCCTGTGGCTAGTTGCCGGCTCAGTGTGAGCGCAGCCAGGGTTTGCTGTATGAGCGGCAGCGACAAGTTGGCTCGCTGGATGGTGTTGGGTATCCAGGGCGCTCTCCTCAGCCACTACATCAACCCTCTGTACATCACCAGCATCGTCCTGGGTAAGCGCCATCATCACTCGGGGTCTTGTAGAGGAGTGGTTCGAGCCATCGCCAAGAGAGAGGCTCCGGGTTCGATTCCTGGGCGGGTCAGGTTGGGGCGAGAACTTAGGCAAGTTTCCTTACTCTCCCACCCCCCCCCCTTCACCACACGCGCACACACACACGCGCGCGCCTCCGTTTACCAGGAACCCGGTTGTTAATCAATTGGCGGATCACATTTTCCAGGGTAATCCCTCCAAAAATATAATGATTCGGTCTCTCAATCCACGACTGTTTGCGGGACATCGCTGGGGCTCAATTGGCTGCTGCTTTTCGCCCACAAAGTACACAGTCATTACACTTTACAGCGTGTCCCGTGAAGCGCTTTGAATTGTCTCGAAAACGTAATAAGGCGCTGTGTCAAATGCGAGGATTATGAAGGATTATCATTTATTTTTATTATGGTAGTAACAATGACCGATTCGATAACAACTTTCAAGGGGGAAGTAGATGGGTATTTGTGGAGGACAAATTTGCAGGGTTATGGGGAGAGCGCAGCGGAGCGGGACTAGTTTGGTCGCTGTTTCAAAGAGGCGACACTGACACGATGGGCCGAATGGTGCTCTTCTGTGCTGTATAATTCTATGATAGTAATCTATCTCTGAGCATTTTTCACTCCCTCCCTTCCCTGTGTTTGTAAACCAGCCGGCCCGTTGCAGTCAGTGAACACCGTAGCAAAGGCCGTGAACCAGCGTGTGGGCGAGAGCCTGCGGGAAGCACTGCCGGAGCCCTTCACCCCAGCCAAGGCCACTTCTTCCTCTGCCACCAGCAGGAGAAGCCGGAGAGCGAGTCCCCTGGTTCCACGCTGAGCATGAACTGGTGTCAGGGGGACGGGACGCTGGAGGTCGTGGACGCGACGACGGGGAAGGTCACCGAAGAGTTAAGTGTGTTAGTTCCCATCGGACCTCGCAGATTCTGCTCGCAGACCCTTTCACAGCCCAAAGCATGTGTTCTCACTTTGAACATCACACCTGCTGATGAAACCCACAAAACACAGTCATGTATCCTGTGAAGCGCTTTGAGACGCCTCCGTGACGTGATAGTCCCAGGATTATTATTATAGCGCGCTGTAGCTCAGTGGTTAGAACTGTCACCTCGCACAAGCGGGTCTGATTCCCGGGCAGGGCAGGTCAGGTCGGGGCGAAACCTCAGGCAAGTTTCCTTACTCCCCACCTACTGTCCCGCCCGGCCGGGAATCAAACCCAAGTCCTCTCGCTTGCGAGTCGAGCGCTCTACCCACTACCCTACAGGACTCCACAACACTTTAGTGCAGTGCTGGGGGAGTCCCAAATCCCTGGCTATCCAGCGGCTTGGGACATCCTGCCGACATGAAAGACGCTGTAATAATCGAATGCGAGGATTATTATTGACGTTATTTTATCTTGTTCAGTTCACCTATTAAGAGTGGAAGTGGCCAGGCTAGCCGCCTGTGCAAGTCAGCCATGCTCTACTCCTTCCGACTTGTAGCCAAGGGAATGAGCAGACGGGATTTACTGCACCTCGCGACATGTCGGCAAGCCAAGGTGAGTGAGGACTGTGTGGGTAGAGGGAGGATAAAGGCTGCGTCAGACTGGTTAACGGTCAAAATATCTCAAAAGGTCTGAGGGGAATCTAAATTGAGGCAGTGATTTTGAGAAGTCCTGTATCTCGGGTGTTAGAGCCGGTGTTTGATTCCCGGGCGGGTCAGGTCCAGGGCGAAACGTTGGGTAACTTTCCTTACTCCGCACGCACGCACACACACACACACACGCGTGTGCCTCTGTTTACCAGCAGTGAGTAGGAATCCGGTCGTTAGTCGATTGGTGGATGGCTTTTCCGGGGGGTAATAATTCCTTCAAAAAAATAACAATAATTCGGTCACCTCAATCCACGACTGTTTGCGGGGACGTCGCTGGGCGCAATCGGCCCACGGCCCACAAAACACGCAGTCACTCCACTTTAATGCGTATCCTGTGAAGCGCTTTGAGACGTCTCGAAGATGCGATGAGGCGCCGGGTCAAACGTGAGGATTATTATTATTGTAAACGTGTAGAGCAGGTGTGTACGGGGCTGGGGGGAGAGCAGGTGTGTACGGGGCTGGGGGGAGAGCAGGTGTGTACGGGGCTGGGGGGAGAGCAGGTGTGTACGGGGCTGGGGAGAGAGCAGGTGTGTACGGGGCTGGGGGGAGAGCAGGTTGCGCTGGGGGGTGGGGGGGGCTCGGTGTAGAGAGAGAGAGAGAGAGACCACCCTGTGTTGACCTGTTGCAGATGGTGGCTCAGAGGTACCAACACGCCAAGTGTCTGCTGAACCAGCACTTCCTGTCCGCGGGGGCAGGGCTGTGGCCACAGAAGCCATTGGTGGACGATTTCCCCAAATAATCACCTCCCTGGGGGTCCGAGCGCTCCGAGATACAGACATACTCTCTCCCTCTCCCCCTCTCT